CCAAAAAAAAAACAACCAAAACCAAAACCCCAAAAAGAACAACCCTGAACAAACCCAAACACCCACAACCCACTCCAGCCACAGCTGCCATGTGCACGCAATGTCAAAGAGGTGTGTCGCCTCAGGCGCTGTGTGAAAACATTTCTTGTCGTGTCCTAAGGCAGGTGTTCTCTCAGAACTACAGGTGACATCGTCTAAGACGATCACCCAATTCTCTAGGAAAAGGTGGCCGTGTAAGGCAGGACTGATCAACATTTAAAAAAGCAAACGATTCTCTTCTGAGGTCCCAACTGGAGGCGGTCGCAGACTGAGTGGTTGGTGTAAGGCAAGGCCCATTACCTCTTTGTCTGGTGTTACTGACTGGTCAGTTGCTGATGGGAACAGTGGGCGGGGCCAGAAACTCGCTGTCGTGACGTGCTGGTCAGCAGATTTGGGTGGGGCCTAGGTTTCTTCCACTTCTTTACCTCCCAAAAGCAAACAATAAAAGCAATACAGTGATGGTTTTTCTATGCTCACGGCAAGCTACGCATTTTGAGAACCATTCAAACGAGAAGTGTCACCTTTGTCTTCCATCTCTTTGTTCTACGTTAAATTTTTCTGGATGGTGGGGACGAAGCCGTTTCACCTCCAAATTTCTCTAATTTAAGATTTTATCTGAAGAAAAAGTTGCCTTAAAAGTGGTTTGATGTAATTAATAACTGTTAAATCTCAGCGGCACAAACACACAGCACTCCAAATTCATACCGTCTATGAGGTGGATTGGGTCGTGTTGTTGCAGAAAATAGAACGCGCCTAACAAAGGCACAATGGGCGCATAGGTTACTGTGTCACTGGGGGAAAGTGTGTCGTAAACTTTCATCCCATTGTCAGGGCAGGGACAGCGTGAGCCCTCTGTGCAGTGTTATTTTTTCAAGTCTTCTAACTTTTAACAAGAAGAGTTTCATTAAGGAGGGCTGGTTGATTGCTGAGCCCTAAAGACATTTGATTGGCTGTTAGGTTACTAGATCTATAGTTGAAAGCCGTGACAACAGTGATTGGATAAACGAGCAAGCCGCCTAGTTGATCACTCTGTGTTCATTGCGGGAGATCAGAACAGTTTCAACCGCTTATTTCGTTATTTTCATTTGCCTTGGGATAGACTTGGGGGGTGGGGAGGGGGGCTCAAGCCTGTGAGCCCTTCACTACCTACCGCCATTGTCAGCAGGTGGGATCAGAGGGCGGGGTCAGAGACTCGCCGTCGTGACGGGATGGTCAGCTGGTAGGAACAGTGGGCGGGGCCAGAGATCGTCGTGACGGGCTGGTCAGATGGTATGAACAGTGGGCGGGACCAGAGACTTGCCGTCGTAACGTG